CTATTCTACCTTTTTAATACTAATTGCACAATTTTATTCGGCATCTTTGCTTGACCCAATTGGGGTGTTACAAACACCAACATCCATTTTATTTAGCTTACATGTTTCAAAGAAACATATTCTGCCTGCCTCATTCTGAACACATTTCATTAAATTATGATTAGTATCTTCCACAATCCCACACTCAGCGCAATCTGTTGAATTTGACTTACCCATTAAAACCGCAAAATAGTTCAATGGAAGGTGACCCGAACGAAGCCTAAAGCTAGTTTCAGTATCATATCTACTCATATCGGCCTAGCTGACTCATGAGAAGCGTCATATATATATATATATATATATATATATATATATATATATATATATATATATATATATATATAGTTTATACCCAATACTTTTATGTAACAGTTTTTCACTAAGATATTCTTTCCACATTTTCTAATCATTGTATTTTTATTAAAAACAAAACATCTGACCAATATGGTAAGTATGTAGTATACACGGAATACGGTCTGTTATGGCTTCTCTTGCAAATATCTACTATTTTATTATTTTCTAGGCCGACATGTGAGGGTGCCCACTGTAGTACAATTTGTTTATTTTTACAATGGAGATTACTTAATAACTTAATAATTTCATAAGCTATAGGCATTCCTCTATAGGCTAGAGTACACCGATTCAAATGTAAAGAGCACTTTAAAAATTAGCCAGTAATACTTCTCGTAATTCCAGAAATCAATATAGGACAGAGCTTCAGCAGTAGCAAAGAGTTCAATATGCATAATCAAAAATTTAGAATTTAGAGTTAACTTATAATTTTCTTAGATTGCGGGTACCAAAAAGCTGTAGCCCCACAATTATCCGTTGAACCATCATTATAGATTTTGTAAAAATCAAAATATTTTCCACTAATGAACTTTATGCAGACCTCATGCAATGTGTGGAGATTATAAAACTGTTTGTACATAATATCAACATCTGTTCTTATACTTTTCGATAAATCTATTTTATTAACCCAGAGTTCAATGAAAACATTTCCATCCGTTCACTAGAAAAAATATTGGTTGATTTATAAGCTTCATGAATTTTAAGTAATAAAGGTTTTTATTTCATGTGTTCTCTATAAGTATCTGTAATATTTGTGTGAAAACTATCTAATACGTAAACTATATTATTGTTTTTAAAGGAACTGATTTTTAACCAAAATTTGCCTGCAAGGTACCTAATTCTACGAATGTGGAGTGGAGGGTGATAAAGCTCACATTCCATCACGTGAGTGGCAGTGGTTTTGATGTAACCACCGATTATTATCAAACATTGGTTCTAAACTATATCCAACTTTTTAAGATGAGTTTTGCAAATATTAAGTTAAAAGAATTTTTTTTTATTCTCAAAAAGGACAAGGTCACTTACATGAGAACAACGTAATTACATATTGTAAAAATTATGCAAATAGTCGCCACATAAGTAGGTACTCAGTTAACGAGATATAGTTACAGATGTATGTATATTAAATGTTATTAAATTGGTTATTTTCCAAAATATATTGTGAGAGCTGAGATTTAAATCCGTTAATTGAGCTTACATTTTTTTAAAGTAGATAGTAATTTGTTATAGAGTTGTGATCCTTCAAATGTAATATCCTTCTTTGCATAATTTGTTGTAGTTTTTGGGAGAACTGGTATAGTCGATTTTACTACGAATTAATGAAATATATAGACGTCGCATGTGCACTGGATGAATACCCCAACTAGAACTGCCAAGATCTTTAAAACTTTTAAACATCTAGATAAATTAACCTTTAATTCATCTATATGCTTTTTCTATTTTAGTGACTTATCCAGCCAAACACCTGAATATTTAATACTATCAACTTTTTCCAAAGCAATGTTATTAATTTTTAAATTAATTATTTATTTTCTATAGTCAGACATGAAAACACAAATCTTTGTTTTCGATGGCGATACAGTCAACCTTATATCGGATAAATGACTATTCAATTCATCTAGCGATCTCTGCATACGTATGGTCCCTAAGCTAAAGTTATCACAAGTTATATCACAAAATCATCAGCATATTGGGATATTAATACATTTTTTAATCTTTTTGCATAAATTCATAGTTGCTATATTGAACACTAAAGGTGATAAAGGATCGCCTTGGGCTAAGTTTTCCTAGAGACATAATACGAGTTATCAATTAAAATATTAAGATTTCTTTCCTTGAAAAAATTATGTACGTAGGTGCAAATATTAGATCCGACTCCCATTTCATCCACGTTATGTAAAAGACCTCTGAGATTGTTATTATATGCATTATCAATGTCTATAAAGCGTATTATAGTGTACGTCTTCCTTAAAAGAAAACTTTCTCTTTTGTCAATACTAAATCACTGAGATTATCAAGTGTAGATCGGAATTTTCTAAACCCATTTATCCGGTTTAAAAAAAATTCAAACTTTTCTATAAACCATTGTATTCGCTTCAATAGAATGTTATGAAAAGCTTTACAAACGTACAACATCATTGAAATAGGTCTTAGGGATGAACTAGAACCAACCCGACCAGGTTTCGGAATAGGAACAACTTTAATGTCTCTCTACTGTTTTGGTATAAATTCAAGATTCAGAAATTTATCGTATAGTAAAAGTAACACGTTTTGGCATTATTTGGAAGGAACCTAAGAATGGAATATAAAATATTGTCACATCCAGTAGTATCTTTTGAGCTAAATGACTTTTCAACTTCTGTTATTATACAATATTCAATCTAAGTTAATATGTATTTTATCGCCTTAATTCTATCTCAACACATCATTTTCTACTTTCAAATAAAATTTTCCGTAGACATTTTTAATATACTTTGGATTAATCCATATACATCTAACTAATAATCACACTATTTTGTATTTTTTTTCATATTATTCAACTTAATACACAATTACCTCACAAATTGAAACATATTTTAGGATTTTGAATCCTTTCACTGAAAAAAATCATATAAATTACAAAATAACGTAACCTTCAAATTGTCAGATGATCCGTGGGCGTTGCAAAAACAGTATATTTTTGCAGTAATCCCACTTCTGAGCTAAAACAGCTCAGAAGGGTTTTCCAGGAAGACAAATATTTGGCAATTAACAATTATATTTCTCGCTTTTTCTGTATACTCATTTTACATTTATATTTTATATTCCTAACTCATATAATGCGAATCACCGACTGTCCACTTGACATATCAAACATCTATATTCAAAATCTACGAACTGGCACATAAAATAACTAAATGTTACACTACGTTAATCAGTTAGTTGATACTGCACAAAGGTTGAGAGGAACAGGGTTTGCAATAAACGACGAATGGATTGGTTCTTTATTGTTAGCGGGACTACCTGAGAAGTTTTCCCCCATGATAATGGCAATAGAGCACTCAGGTATCACGATTAATGCGGATGTTATAAAAACTAAACTACTAGATATGAGTTCTGATGTTGTTAGTAGTGAATCGAACACAGCCTTTATTTCAAAAAGGACTGACAGTAATACATCTTATTATAACGCAAAAACAAAAACGAAACCATCTGTCAAGAAAATATTTAAATGTTATGGATGTAAGCAACCTGGACATTTTAAATACCAATGTCCTGAAATGAAACAAAAGCAAGGAAACGCTTTTAGCGCTGCCTTTTTGAATGGCAATTTCAGTACAGAAGATTGGTATGTAGACTCGGGAGCGAGTGCCCACATGATTGCTAACAAAAGTAAACTATTGCGTGTTGAAAAAGTATGTCATAAGAAAGAAATACTTGTGGCGAATCAAACGTCTGTGCCGGTTTTATGTGTAGGTGATACACAGATTACCACAGTAGTCAACAATTCTCAGTTTGACATCAAGGTAAAAGATATTCTTTGCATACCTAGCTTAGCGACAAATTTATTATCAGTCAGCCAGTTGATAGCGAAAGGGAATAAGGTAACATTTGAGATGAATGTTTGTCATATCTTTAATCAACAGAACGAGCTGATTGGAGTAGCAGATTTAATAAATGGTGTGTATAAGTTGAATATTGTGAAGTCAGAGAATGGATTAGTTGCGGCAGTTCAGACGGCTGATGCTAAACTATGGCATAGAAGGCTGGGACATATTAATTGTAAAGACTTACAAAAAATGAAAGATGGTGCTGTACAGGGTGTATTTTATGACGATAAGGCTGATATTCGAAAATCCAACTGTGAAGTATGTTGTGAGGGGAAACAGTCTCGTCTACCTTTTCCTTTGAAAGGTCATAGAAGTGATAAATTGCTAGATTTGATACATTCGGATTTATGCGGGCCGATGGAAACTCGCTCGATTGGTCAAGCAAGATATTTCCTTCTTTTCGTTGATGACGCAAGTCGAATGGCCTTTGTATATTTTTTAAAGGAAAAATCCCAGGTATTACAGTGTTTTAAGGAATTTCAGAGATTAGTTGAGAATCAAACGGGAGTAACGATTAAAACATTGAGAACTGACAATGGAGGGGAGTATTGCTCTAATGAAATGGAGAAATACTTAAGAAAAGTTGGCATTATACATCAGAAGAGCAACCCGTATACTCCAGAGCAGAATGGTCTCTGTGAGCGTCTAAATAGGACTATAGTCGAGCGAGCACGATGCTTACTATTTGACGCAAAATTAAATAAATCTTTTTGGGCTGAGGCTGTAAACACGGCAGTCTATCTTAAAAACCGGACGCCGGCCTCAGGACTAGACCAAATGACACCCTATGAGAAATGGGCAGGGCGGAAACCTGATATGAGCCATATTAGAATATTTGGTAGCTCTGTTATGGTCCATGTTCCAAAGAATAAAAGACAGAAATGGGATAAGAAAGCTTCCAAATACATCTTAGTCGGATTTTCAGATAATGTAAAAGGGTATAGGCTGTATAATCCAGAAACAAAACAAGTCACTATAAGCAGAGATGTAGTTATCATGGAGGAAAAGGAAAACTCAGACATGGTAGAAGCTGTAGTTGACAGTAAGAGGGAAGAATGTGTACAGACAGAGGAAACACCTGATATATCTGAAAATGACCTAACAGCAGTCAGTAACACTACTGATCCTACTTATGTATACGATGGATCCAGTACTAGCGCAAGTGAAGAAGATTACTTTAATGCACATTCAGAAGAAGATAATGATATTACTGAACAAAAAATACCAATATTACCAGCAAAACGTGAAAGAAGACAACCTGATAGATACGGTTACAGTAACTTGTGTGCGGTGGATGATCCAGAAATCTATGGAGAAATTACTTATGATGATGCTGTGAATGGACCAGAAAATGAAAAATGGAAGGAAGCAATGGACGAAGAATTAAAAGCTTTCGATGAAAACAATGCATGGGAGTTTGTGGATGCAAAAGAGGCAGATAGATTAGTAAAATGTAAATGGGTCTTTAGAAAGAAATATGATAGTGAAAATAATGTAAGATATAGAGCAAGACTAGTCGCGAAAGGATTTACGCAGAAGGAAGGTGTAGATTATAAAGAGACTTATTCACCTGTCTTGCGATATTCAACTTTAAGACTTTTATTTGCACTAAGTGTTAAACTTAAGTTAGATATTACTCATCTCGATGTAACCACGGCATTTTTAAATGGCTATTTAGATGAAAATGTTTATATGCAAGTTCCTGCTAATTTATATTGTAACAAAAATAAGGTATTGAAATTAAAACGTGCAATATACGGCTTAAAGCAGTCGGCTAGAGCTTGGAATAAAAGAGTTGATGATTGTTTGAAAGAACTTGGTTATGCAAAATCTAAATTAGAGCCATGTTTGTACACTAAAAATGTAGATTCGGATAAAATAATTGTAACGATATTTGTAGATGATTTCTTTATATTTTCTAATAGTAAAAGTATGACTGATGACTTAAAGAAAGAGTTGAAAGCAAGATTTAAAATTAAAGATTTAGGTCAGTTAAGGCTATGCCTAGGGATGCGAGTAGAAATAAATTCAAATTCTATATCTATTGATCAGGAAAAATTTGTAGATCAGCTATTAATTAAGTTTAATATGACGAATTGTAAAACTTGCGATTCTCCTATGGAAACAAATTTAAAACTCGAAAAGGCTGTAAACGTTAATAAATTGTATCCATACCAACAATTAATAGGAAGCCTTATGTATTTATCAGTATTAACTAGGCCAGATATATCTTATAGCGTTAGTTATCTTAGCCAATTTAACAGTTGCTATGATTCTACTCATTGGGTACAAGCTAAAAGAGTTCTAAGATATTTAAAGAAAACAAAGTCGTATGGTTTAGTATATAAAAAAGATAGTTGTGATTTAGAAGGCTATGTAGATGCAGATTGGGGGTCAAACGTAATAGATAGAAGATCTTATACTGGGTACTATTTTAAAATGTCAGGAAGTATTGTATCTTATGAAAGTAAGAAACAACGCACCGTAGCATTGTCTAGTACTGAGGCGGAATACATGGCCATATGTGAAGCGAGTAAAGAAGCGATTTACTTAAAAAAATCTCTTGATAGAATTAACTGGTCATGTAAATTTACCTATTATTTTATATAATGACAATCAGAGTGCGAAAAAATTGACTGAAAATTCAATGTTCCATAAAAGAAGCAAGCATATAGATATAAGGTACCATTTTGTCAGAGATGCTGTGTCAAATAATATTATTAAAATTATTTATTTAGAAACGTCAAATATGCCAGCAGATATTTTGACAAAATGTTTAAATTCAGCTAAACATGTTAAGTTTTTGGATTGTTTAGGTGTTATATGTATACTTCATTGAATTTTGAGTTAGTTTGTTTTATTTTTAAATTTTAGATTATTTTGATAAAGGGAGTGTGTTATTTTTTATCAAAATAAGTTTTTAATGTATATTGGCCGTCTTAAAAATAAAAGTAATAAATGTCACTCGTAGAAAAAGTCTAACTGCGTTTCAATAGTATTATGGCCAATAGAAATATAAATAAACTCAACTCAATTGTAACTTACTGTCCTGTTTGTTTATGCAAAAATAAGCTTCATAACTTCTAACTTAGTTGAATTTAGATGTAACTCTCCAAGAATTCCTAATATATTGCGTCCTATGACAGTATAAATAAATTACTTTATAGCGTGGATAGTAGGACGTAATGCGTCTCCAAGCGATGCCGGTGGTTGCTCAGCTAGGGAACTGTAAAGTCACTCAACATTCGTTTACGTAGCCAAAGGAAGCTGAGGTCTCTTTATAAAACAGTTCATGAATATTCACACAAAAAGTATAATATAAAGCTTCTGTATAAATTGTAGACTTTGAGTGAGGTCTTAAATTTAGAATAATAGACTAATGTCAACGATATTGATATAATAATTTAACAGTTAAAATTATATTTACTACTAGCATTGCCAGCGGCTCCGCCCGCGTTCAGATGACCAAAAATCAAATTCTTAGGTTTTACATATTAGTATACTCTTACAATGCAGTTTTTGTATTTTTTCTCAGAAATAAAATATTTTTTCGTGGTAAAAAGTATTTTATATGTTGACCCGGATAACCAGCTATCATCATACCAAATTTCATCAAAATCTGTCCAGTGGTTTTCTCGGGATGCGGTAACAAACAGACAGATAAAAATTCTAAAAACTATAGATTCGGACTCTATATCGATAATAATGTCTATTTTAATTAGATTTTCCAAAAAAAAAACATTTAATGTACAGATTCGACTTAGTTACAATTTTATTATATGTATAGATATTAGTAGGCTAATGATTAAAAAATATGGAGTTCTCAATAATAACTTATCATTTACATGGAGATGGAAAATAAGGTCCATGATTTGACCTCTATGTACATTATCTTATATAAGTAAATATGTAAAGAATATCTAGTTGCAATATAATATTCAAGAAAGCTTCTGTTGGCTCTGTTACCAGCCTTTTTAAAAGTAACTCACAAGAAACTGGAGCAAACTTTAAAAGATTAAAATTCTAAGTGAGAGTGTTCTAAAAGGTGACTTTGGTTGTTTTCGGTAAGTGTCTTTGTAATGTAACACAATTAGAGCTGTGAAAGAGAAAGTTAATAAGACCAAATTATTCCATGGTTAATCTTAAAATAAGATAAATGGTAAAAAGAAATCTAGAAATAGCGTTTTTTAAAAAATCTATAGATGCACGATTTGAGTTTAAATAATAGCTTTGCAACATGCAAACCAATGCTAGGTACTATTTGATATATTTCAAGAAAGAAGCACACAAAATTGAGTTAAATTTTTTTAGTATTATATAACAAGATTAAATTTTAATCAAGACGGAATAAACTTTTTATGTGCTTGCAACCGATAATTAATAGGTAATGCAGTTAGAAACAATGTCATTTGAAGTTTATATCGGTTGCATTCAAAAGGCTTGAAATAATTACTATATCGCTTTAGTATTATGTTACATGTAGGAAAAATTTATTAATAATAATCTTTATTAAAGATTGAAAAACAAAAACAAATTTATCCCACGGGAATCGTACATTTTTCCGGGATAAATAATAGCTTATGTGCTATTTCAGACTATAATTTACCTTTGTGCCAAATTTCATCCAGATCCATTCAGCTGTTCTGGCGTGAATGAGTAACAAACATCCAAATATGTAAACTTTCACATTTATAATATTAGTAAGATATAATATGAAGGCGTGTTTATCGCTTTTTACTCGACTGCGGCTAAGCCCAAAGTACGGTTATGTGTTTGACCTGTATGTATGTACGTCCGATCTTATGTTCTCTCTCAATTACCGTAGATCACATAACACTACTACAGATGCCTCATCCCATATAAAGAAATTGGATAGCGCTAATTTGGGTTATTCTGCGGGCTATTTTTGCTTAGAATAGATAATAGATGTCGTTGATTCGCAAATAGTTTAACTGTTTTATTTTATAAATATGTACAAACTAACGAATGGTAAATATTATAAAATTTATTCTGCATTCGAATAAAAAAATCGGTGATTTTAAAAATTTTTAACCGTGAGAAACAATTCATAAAATACATATAAAAGCGCCTTTTGTGAATATACATTATTAATCCATCATCTGATTGCTGATATTTCAATAATCAGTAAAATTAGCCTTTGATTTACGGACACATTATTTCTTTTCTCTTTACTTAGAATATTTTTTGAAACAATAATATATATTTTTGGGATCTATTTTTTTATCTTTTGTTATTTTAACGTTAATAACAAATCTATACATGTACTGGCATCTATTGACAATTTTTTGAACTAATTCTTCTTGGTTTGTGATGAAACCCCATGTAATTACTAAACGGCTTAACCGATTTTGATGAGATATGTCTTGATAACCCGAGTGTCATAGGGTATATGAATATCACTAAAAACCGAAATGACGGATCTAAGCCACCAATTTCTGTGTCATCAAAATATTTTTTTCTTCTAGCCTATCGAGTGTTTTGTTTTTTCATTTTCTTGTAACCTTTTTAAGAGGTGTTTAAAAAATATAATATACAAATCTAACTTGAGATCCGTATTATAGTAATAGCACTTTGACGAGTCTATGTTTTTAACTTTTACGATTCCGAACGTTAACACGATAGTGAATAACTTCGCCTATTGTCCATCGATATCGATAACTGTAACAAATTCTCGCTGTCACCTCACTAAGTGACTTTAACAAAGGAAGATAGCATTCGTGCGAAAATCGGCACTCAGTATCTTAGTGATTACAACTGTTCAATTTTTATATTATTTCATTGATAAACCTATAACCTACATATACTTGTACTTTAAGACTATAACGTGTTAAAGAATTTAGAAAACGTAAAAAGAGATGGTCGACGCCGACGGACAGTTATCTTATTATCTACCTGTCACAGTAAATCCCCTTAAGGATTTCTCCTATCTCTGAGCTTTTTTACAAATATATACTTGTCGAAAATAAAATCTTCGAGGTATGAATTTTATATTGCTGCCCAATAATGTAAGAAATTATACAGCCTGTTTGCAGCGTGGCTTAAGTATTGCAGCGTCTTAGAAGATTATAGTGGACGGACCGAGGGACGGACGGCGGCTCGCGTGAGGGCGCTTATCTTGTTACCCGCCTGTCGCTGTCACGCCATGTAGCCTTAGGTTTCCGTCGCCTAATACCGAGCTTTGTTTGTAAATGTTACGCTTCGTAGATGAAAAATTCTATTGTTTTCGATTCTTAATACTAATATCGATATATTTTTTATAATGTATGAATAATTAACATTAATTACAATAATAAAATTGCATTTTATAAAAAAAATTTAAGGAAAATGTGGTGTGTGTTAAAAATATAATTTGACCATTATTATGTTATCAAAAACAAAATATTTCTATATAATATGCGTTGTTTAATTTTATCACATGTGCATATATTAGTTTTTTTAATGTTTATCAAAGTTTGCAATAATATAATGGAAATAAAATATATAATTATATATATAACTGAAAATCAGCGCTGCTTGAGATTTAGGTCTTAGCAGCATTAGCTGAGTTATTACGCTTTGCCATAAGTTACTTTAAGCTTTACTGATTCTGTTAACTTTTTTTACTGTTTTTATGGCAATAAATACTTTTTATTTATTTATTTATTTATTTCGTTTAAATTACTAGGTACATTCGAAAATAAAATTGTAAATATTTAACAGGAAGCAGGCGTCCAAAAAATTCCAAGTTAAATCTGTACATTCGTGACATGACATTTGAAGTTGAATGAAGTAAATAACGCTAGCATTATATTATTGCTACATACTGTATGGAGTCGCGGTGGGCGAAATATGTCTTTGCTTTTCAAAAGACTCGCAATCGGTTCGAATAACGTTCTATGATTTAATTTTTATTATAATGTTTATTGAACCTATTGTGATTTCCGCTACAACTTATGCTAACTAAATTAGTACCTATTATATCTTTACTAACTAAACTTATACTAACTAAATGTACCTATTATATAACTATACTAAATGTACCTAAATGTAATGTAAATCCCATGTCCGGCAGTGGGATGCTTAAAGAACTTAATTATTTTTTTATTATTATTACGAGTATATTTGCTCGACTTGAGTTTAGTTTAACGAAATAGTATTTATTTTTTCACCTAATAAACATTGTCTCGATATTGGTTTAAAAAAGCAAAGCGAGGAATCGCTATGTTCCCTCCTTTTACCAAGTATAAATCCATATATTCTAAAGATGTAAGAGTGTACAAAGATATCGATTTATGATTTTTTGTGACTTTTCAGTCTTTTAATCGACTTTTTAAATTAGTCCTAAAAATAATAATAGAGGATAAAAAAATCCAAACAGGTTTTTTTCGGTATTTTGCAAATTAATTTATTTTTAAAATGGATATAAAATTTTAGATTGTCAGATTACCTATTATATTATAGAGATAAACCAACGTTATATTAAAAAGGAGCTGTAAAATATGCTAGTGTATATTTTTAAGATTGATCGTGGCGTGCCTTTATTTATCTTCTAACATTTCTTCCAACTTGAGCTACAATAACTTAAAATTCATGAAGTACGAAGTCTGTTTAGATTTAAAATATTTGATGAAAATTTTATTATAACAAGCATTTTATAATGAATTTTAATATATATATATATAACATATATATATATATATATTCTCTTATATGTTTGAATGTTTTCCTTCCATTTTTTTTTTTCCAAAAATCTTCAAAATAATTTATTATGTTTGATAACTTAACAACAAATATTGGATACGAGTAAATATTCAATATTGTTATAGAGTTGCTTTTATAAAAACTTTGTAGCGGCTGGAGGTTACTATCGGACTTTGATAATAAAAATAAATATTCAACTGTTCGTTTTTTACTTTACAAATATTTAACATTTATTAATTTTATTATTTATTGATTTATTTACGTATTTATTTATCTTATTTAAATACAACAACATTTACCACTTTTATCATATAAATATAATATTTGCATAAATAAGATTAAGCGACTTATATACATAGATTCATAATGATAAATAATGAAAATATATCATCATTTTTGCTCTTGCGAGACAGCGGCTTCCAGCAAAGATGTTAAATATTAATTTTGTCATAGCTAAATGGCCACAGATATTACTAAGTATATACGTGTATCTAAGATTCCAGAGGACTCTAATGACGGAGGCGGCGCGTGGTTCGTGCCCTTTCATGCCTCATTATAGTAAATGCTTGAGTGATTCTAGAACTTTCCAGTGTATAGTGCCGTTAGAGTTCTGTTGAGGTATTACAGAGAAAGAGTCTTACAATCTCCTGTGTTTTAGCAAAAAAATGGGAGGAAAGACATAATAAATTGGCCTTTTCGTAGAATTGTAAGGATGCAGTCATTGATCAGTAAATATTTTTTTCATAGATCATTATTACTGAAAGATTTGCTTAGACAAAATTCGTAAGATTAATCCAACCTGAATGTACAAGCGGTTTCACAGAATAAAAAGGAAATAAAAATCACTAAGTATATATATATATATATATATATATATACATATATATATATATATATACACATATATATATAACAGCAGAGACGGGCAACGCAACGTCTAGTGTTGACTATCAGTACTCAGTTGTGAGAATTTTGTACGTTTGAGCTGTAGCGATAAAAATCAACCTATGAATTTTTAATGAACCAAAATATCATAAATTCTAATATATATATAAAGTTACATAATTAATTTATGCGTTTCATAATATTTGTTTAAATTATTATATTATGAACGTTGATTCAATGTTGCGCTTTTGTGTAAACCAGATCAAATATTTAAATACATATAGCCGATAGAGATATTTGCCTTGTTATGAATTCAAATGCTTGCAAAATAAATTTCAATGGACTTAGTGAGTATACGGGCTGCTATAATGTCCGACTTTATGAAATTACTAGCATTGCCCGCGGCTCCGCCCGCGTTCAGATTACCAAAAAATAAATTCTTAGGTTTTACATATTAGTATACTCTTACATAAGTTTTTGTTTATTGTGCAGGCTATTTAAAAAGATTTTATTTCTTTTTTTGTTTTTTTTATAAAATTGTTATATACTAAGTGCATGCTCTATAAAAATACTATTAATGTAATTTTATTAAGGAAATAAAAAGGCTAAATTATTATTATTATTATACTCTTACATTGCAGTTTTTGTATTTTTTCTCAGAAATGAGTTATTTTCCTGCGATAAAAGTATTCTATATGTCGACCCGGATAACCAGCTACCATCATATCAAATTTCATCAAAATCCCTCTAGTGGTTTTTCCGTGATGCGGTAACAGACAGACAGACAAAAATTCTAAAAACTATAGATTCGGACTCTGTATCGATAATAATGTCTATTTCAATAAGATTTTCCAAAAAATATTTAATGTACAGATTCGACTTAGTTAGAATTTTATTACATGTATAGAGTAAATTAATAAAAAATGTAATAATATTTCAACGAGATCTAACTAGTACTAAAGAAAGCTTCTTACACAAAAATATAATGGAAAATAATGTTATACGTAAGTCTGTTTATGTACGAGTGATTAGTTTCCGAACGTAACTATTTAGGATTGCTTCATTATACCTTTAGCACCTTTTATGGAGTCTAAAGAACAATAGTTTCGAATGTGTTTATTTCTTTAGCATCTTATCCTAGATCTTCGACAACACCAATTCTAGTAAGTCAACAAAAGATTCTGATTTCGAATGCGGTTAATGGACGAGTTAATGTAATAGCTGAAAGCACTCAATGCTTACAAAGTCATGTCGGTCGCTTTATGGGAACACTAACTGTTAATTTCCTACTTTTTGCTATAGGAAATTCAACTGTAAGGAAAATATTGCTAGGTTTCTATATAGCGTTGTTTTATTTGTTCACGCTTGATTTGTGATTTACTTTCGTGTTTCTCTGGTTAGTTCTCATTTTATATCACGTTCATGCATCTGCCATATATTTTTGTGGTGTAGATTATGTAGGGAATATGCAAAATTTGGTTTTATTGTGTACTTGGTGGCCCACACTTTTCGTTATTATGATAACATATAGTAATCATGGATTTTTCTGTGGGAATATGATATTTTCTCGCTGTAAAAATTAGTGCCACTATCTCCTTACTAAAAATCATATCACTCCGTTTCGACATGATAGAACGATAAACAAACATAGAAACACGTCTTCACATTTATATTATTATTAGCGATTTACCCCCGTTTCGACTAGATAGACTATACCGAGTATATTAGATATGTACAGAGGTATGATGGTTGTTATGGGTTGTATAATAACGTCTTTTGCCATGGGAAAGAGATAATCTCCCGTGGTAAAAAGTAACCTATGTCACTCTCCAGTCCTCTAACTATCTCCACACAAAAAATCATGCAAATTCGTCACTGTGTTTCGACGTGAAAGATGGTCACATAAACAAACACACTTACACATTTATAATATTAAATTATGGATGTTATGGCGGCTCTTACTCAGGTGGGACGACAGTTCGACACGATCGGTGAGAGATAAGGCGCAGGACGGACTGGTTAACGTCCGGTAAAGCCACACCGCCTACTGATAACTCGAGACTATTACTCGGACCAAAAACTCAATAACTGATTTGGCCCAACCTGGGATCTGAACTCACGATTTCTCGATCTGCAGCCGTACATGCTATCCACTAGGCTAACATGCAACTGGATAATATGGAAGCAACTGTATCATTTTACTGTATTTTACGTTCATTGTGTCACTTTTTGCATTATAATAACAACTCACAAGAACCAATTGAGATTCGTGAAAAAAATAAGAAGTTGTACTTTGACTCTTATAGTTTTACCAGCATTGCTCGCGGCTCCGCCCGCGTTGAGATGACCATAAACCAAATTCTTAGGTTTTACATATAATTAGTAACTCTTACAATGCAGTTTTTGAGTTTTGGTATTTTTTCTCAGAAATGAGATATTTTCCCGCGGTAAAAAGTAGCCTTTATGTTGACCCGGATAACCAGCTATCATCATACCAAATTTCATCAAAATCTATCCAGTGGTTTTCTTGTGATGCGGTAACAGACAGACAGACAGAAAAACAGACAGACAGACAAAAAT